GGCGCCCCCCTCCCCCCCCCATCCCGCCGCCCTCCGCTCCCGCCTCGGCTCCGTCCCGGTCCCGCGTTCCCCGCCGAGGCGGCCGGGCCTCCGCGCGGCAGGGCCAGGTGGCCGCTAAATGTGCTCCAGCCCCGGGGCTGGCGGCCTTTCAGCGCTGGATAAATCACCTGCGAAAGCCTCGCAGGGCTCGCACAAAACAAGGTAATTATTCAGAAAGCAGAGGCCGTGCACAGAGCCAGGATGTGAAAATATTATCTGCCAGTGATTTAGCGGGAGCCGCAGGCCGTGCCGGAGCACGGCAGCTGAACCGAGCTCGGTTTGGCAGCTCCGCGGCTCCCGGAGCTCCAGACAAGTCGGTTCCTGGGCCCTGAGCTCCAGCACCGCCCTGGGAGCCGGGCCGGACCCACGGCAGCAGCACACGGAGCCGGCCTTGGGGATGGCCAACCCGGCGGGCAGGAATTCCCCCTTTAGCTACTTAATGCAGCATCCGGAGCGTTCATGGTACGAACGGCTGCGTCCAGGAAGACCAGAACAGCCTCGAGCTCCGCACGACGGAGCCAGAAGCCGCTCTGCCGCTAGCGAGGCCATCCTGGAAAATCACCGAGGCAGCGGCTTGTTGAACGTTTCTGATTTCGCTTCCTTCAGTAGCAGCTTCACAAATGTTTTTCCTTAGCCAAATGTTTTTCCCTTGGCACCCATGACTGCTCTGGCAGGTTTGTTGTTCACGTTCTGAAATGAATCGTTCCTTTTCCTCTGCTCCAGAGACTCGCAAACCCCGCGGCTCGGGGAGGTTTTATTTCACGTAACAAATCGCTTGTGGCGTCCGCGTTTTCCAGGTGCGGCCGCAAGCCGGGCGGCCCCGTCCCTGTTCCCCGGGAAGCTCCCGCAGCCCCGAGCGCGGCGCGGGGGGATGTTCAGCCCGTCCCCTGCCCCCCCCGGCTCTGCCTTCTGCTCCCCCTGCTATTTCCCAGTTGAAACCCGGCAGCCAACACAACGCAACGGATTTCATGAAATTAAGTATTTCTCCTACACACAGCATATTTACCCAGTGATTATAACTAGTCCCCAAGGTAGCCAAGCAGAGCAGAATTCCCGTTTAATATGCACACCCACGCAGCCCGCAGGAGCCAGGACGCTCCCCGCGCTCCGCAGGAAACGCGAGCGCTGCGGCGGCAGCTCCTCCCCGCTCCGCTGCGCGCACAAAGCCGGGAGCATCCGCGGCCGGGGAAGGACAGGCAGGGAGAGGAGTTCGCCAGGAGCTCCGGGTGACCCCGGCAGCCCGCGGGGGGGCGGAGCGGG